AACTACAATTAAAGAGGTGGCAGAAGAGATTTAAAAGTGATGACTGGACCCTGAATGAGAACTCCAAACATGAGAGGCAACAACTCTTCAAGTCACAGTGGAAAAAATTGCTAAGAGTGTCTGACCTGACAGGCGTTAAAAGTACATAACATGCAAAGGGCATTATTTTGAGAAAATGTGAAATGGGACACTGTGCAATATACATCCAATAAATCTAGAATGTGCTCATTGTAATTTAGTATCTTAAAATGTATTTTTGGGCAAACTTCTTGGAGCTACACAAAATGGTATTTGTTGATTAATTATTTTATATTTTCCCATTTTTTATTAATTTTGACGTGACTGTATAATCTGCCCACCCCTAACCAAACTCACCAACTTGATTTTATTATAACATCCATACGAGGGGTGATCAAAAAGTAATGAACGCTTTTTTACACAGATACTTTTTAAAGACAAATCCCTTTGATTTCCTACCAGTGATACATCATTCAATTATCTATCAATTCTGAAGATTTGAAGACAAAATATTTAATACATATTGATATATCCTTATTTCCGTGAAGGAGGTACAGGTACCCCGGGACCGACATTTACGTCACATTCAGATTTTAGCCAGTTTGGTTTTCAGTTAGATTTGAACGTTTTATATGCAACAAGTGTTGTGTTGTTTAAAAAAATTTGCTGACTGGTAACACATAAACAGAAAGTATTGTAATGTCAGAGTGTTGTATGGAAGGGGTTTGCAGGTCAATTTGAGAAAGCATTCAGTGGAACAACCCGTGCAACTGCATCTTGCTACCATGTCAGAGAATGGATTCAGTCTTGTCTCACAATCTTGAGTTAAGAGGATGAGGAATTGTGTATGTGTATCACTTGATGGAAACTATTTAGAGGGCCCTGTGGAATGAATGTGGCATGAATACCACACAGTGATGATAAAATATTCAAAATTATTATATTATTACTATGGCATAACAAAATGGGGTAATTCATGACCATAATGGTTTGTTTTTTTCAGCCTGCATTCAACTGCATTGCATGTTAAACAATCTAAAATAGCTTCAGAATATGTGACGTAAATGTCGGTCCCGGAGTACCTGTACCTCCTTCACGGAAATAAAGATATATCAACATGTAATATATATATTGTCTTCAAATCTTCAGAGTTGATAGATAATTGAATGATGTATCACTTGTAAGAAAATCGAAGGGATTGGTCTATAAAAAGCATCTGTGTAAAAAAGCGTCCATTACTTATTGATCACTCCTCGTATATTTTTGTCAGTCAACATGAAAATTTGTCGAATAATCAAAATGTCTCTTAGAGAACATTTACTAAAAATTTCATGAAAAAATATCTATTATTGATAAAGTTAGAACATATAGTGCATTACTTCTGGGACAACCCTCGTATAACGAGAAATTAGGCCCAAATTTGAATTGGTCAATTTTTGGATCCGCCAGTGAAGACGGCTCCATTTAACAGGATATTGGTCCACTTAACTTAACAGTTTGCCAAAAATCCATTCTTCCAATTGGAACGTTGCCCAACAATGACTAAAAAGGCATTTTGAGAGGTTTCGCAATTCACATACAGTATAGCATGTTTACCATTCCCGTATCACGTATAACTTATGAGCTCTAATATATCCATAAGTGTGATATTCTTACGTATAGACGACGATTCATAAGAATATCACGCCTTTAATGATGACGTCACCAAACGGTTCAAAAGTTATACGTCATATACCGGAATAATAAACATGCTACATGTATAAGTGAGTTCCGATATCTCTCATATGTTAAATGTTTTCCTTGTATAGTCAATTGCGCAATTATAAATACTACGAAGGGGAGAACTTATTCCTAGATGATTATCATTCTGCACATACGTGTATACGTTTTCTTAAAACGTGTGGAATAACTTCCCAATTATGTCATAGGCCGGGGATACACACCATTGAATTTACTGAAAATTCGAACCCAACTATGGTATATGGCTTATATAAGCTTTTGTAAGAAAGGGAAACATTGTCGATAAGCAAAAACACGGGACAATTTTAACTTGTACATTTTCTTTAAATTCGCTGTCAAAGAGGTTTCCATAATTTTCTCAAAGTTTGAGATAACAAATTGATATTGTTGTCTAAAAATTATGGCAAGGTGTTGGGTTAGGCTGAGAAATGTATCTCTTGTGTAAAGCCTTGGCATATCAGGGGCGGATCTGGGAACCAACAAGGGGGGGGGGCAAACTTCTGGTTTGAGAAAAAAAATGTCTTCAAAATTTGGCCTAAGATTAAAAAATAAGGCCTTAGAAGGCCCATTTGTGATAAAAAAAGGCCCACTTTTTGGGGCCTTGTGGCCTTTTTTGGCTCAACATTTTTTTGAGCCCAATTTTTTCCCTGGGCCCACCTAAGGGGGGGGTGTAAAAAACCGGGTGACCGGAGTAGCTTGGTGAGCGAGTACCTAACGTTCCAAGCAGGGTTACCAACTTTCAAAGTTTCACATTTTCCCCGATAATATATAGTAGACAGCGAGTTGACTTGAGTGTTCGATATGTTTTACCCTATAAGAGACAGAGTACTTTTTAAAATAATCGACACAGCAAACAGTGACGTCAATGTCACGTTGCTCATTAGTTGCGTTGTCAAAACGTGACGTCCATAATGGCGTTCATGTACCGTATTATTGATCTGACGTTATTCAAATATTCAGCAAAACGTCGATGGTTGGTATAAAAAGTACGTTGAAGAAACATGTTCGTAAAGTTCGCTAGTGTAGAAAACGTAACAAGGATGTTTCATTTTTACCACATTGGTTAATTTTCGAGGTAACATAAACGTTTAATTTCAACATTATGTGGAAATGGCTTCAAAATATTTGTAAGTTAAGAAAACGTTACAAAGACGTTATGTTCTCACTAAATCAGTTCATTACCGACTTTATCTTAATGTTAAAAGTTAACGTCGTCAAAACGTTCTTACGATGTGAAATAACCTCAAAACGTGACGTACATGTATCGTCCAGATCCAACGTTATAAATAATAAAATTTCGTAACCCTGCTAGGAATGTTAGGCACCCGGTCACCCGGTTACCCGGTTTTTTACACAAACCCTAAGGGGGGGGCGGGCCCACATCCGCCAGTGCATGTAGAGGACCATGGTTTCACCAAGGACGTCTTGGTTTGACCCACGATTAGTGTGGTATCTATACAATAACAGCCAGTGATTCTTCTGATATCGAGGAGATCCGTGTGGTCGTTTATTAAACCCCATAAACTCACAGGGGCTCTACCATATTAAGCAGAAGTGAGTAGCTCCCATATTAATTCTTTCATATTCTATCGTATATTCGGGGATTCCAAATTACATCATCTCCCGCATCATCTCCAAATTGCAGGACGTGATCACGTAAACAATCATGAGCACAGGCTCTCTCAGTGCTGTGCATGCGCAAAGTTAAATTTAAAATTCTGGGAATGGCGTTAACATCAGTTCAACATCATCATTTCAAACCTACGGTAATACCATTGAAGTTACTCGATCCATACTTGTAGAGAATACTCATAAACTACAGCGAACATTTGGAGATCTATTTCAACGGCAAATTGAGGCCTGATTAGCCTATAAAATTTGTTTTCGAACGTGCCAATATGATAGGTCATCTTTGGGAAATCTCCCCCCTGATATTAGGCGTGGCAATTGAACGCATGGGGTAAGGTACAACACGATTGAGAAAACTGATGTTTTCATTGCTGGGGCAGGAAAAAAGAAAAATCGTACCTTCGATGTTCCGACATTTTGTTACCAAAACGGACCGTTTCGATAACCAACGTAGTCGAGTAGATCACCAGTGCAGTTATCTCCCATATATGGTCTAGTGGTAAGGATCCGGCGCTCTCACCGCCGTGGCCCGGGTTCAATTCCCGGTGTGGGGACGACTGGTTTTTTTTGTTTATAATACAATATCCTTTGGTCCATGCAACCAACGCATTATCTCAATCTGCTATGCAATCAACGGATTATCACAATCAGCTAAACTATTAACTGTTGTTAAACCATGTGTGCATTCCAATTAAAACAAAAACAACATTAAAATTTATAGCTTCATTTAAATAAAGTTTGTATATTTACCTGGACGGAATGGGACAAAATACAATATGGTGCCAACTATATACTTATTAATCTATACAATACATTAAAACCTGTAAACTCGGACGCCTCTGTGAGTTAAACAATAAACACCCCAAGCATAATTGGACTGCTTTTCCAAGTCCAGTTACCCATATTTAAGTAGAATGACTTCCCAAATGGATCTGCCAATGTGGTTACATCTTGAGGTCCCAAAGGTGTTCCACTTTGACACGTTTAAATGGATATATTTCATTTTACATACATATAACAAGTATTCACGAGTTAATAAATATGCATTTTTGGCGAGAATCATAGAGAACTTACATTGATTTTTAAAAAATATTAAATAAACTGACATAATGATGTCATCTCTCGTTGATACTACAGATCTGAACAATAAGCATAATTAAGAGAAAACTTCCTAATGGAATCATCTTTTTTATGAAACATCTCTTCATATGGAACAGTTTTCCAAAGAACCAAATTAAATGGCGAGTATCAAATTTTCTAGTGTTCTTGCATGAAGGAACATTCCAAAGTTTGTCTTGGAGTTTTATCAGAATGCAACATATTTTGAGGAAATATTAAACATGTTTTCAATAACAATTTAATAACCTCTCTAACAGTGCCATCTTTTAACAGTCTTGTCTATCTATCATCACATTAATACAGGGTTGCCCAAAAAAGGCAAAACCAATAGCCCATATTCAAAGAATTGTGGGCTCTGCTATTTTGGAGTCACCATTTATCATCCATATTATTCAATATCAATTCTAAATAAGGCGTTACGAGCAAAATGTCACCACAATTTGTTACAGTCACCAACTGCCGTCACAAAAATGGAGACCATAACAATATGTGACCACTTTTTGGTGGTGACATAAAATTATATCCATCAGTGACATCTTTAAACAGTCTTTTCTTTCAATCAATCATCACATGTATATGTTCCATATTGTTCAATATCAATTTAAAACCATTCTGTCACTTCCTCCGCCTTGATCAAATGACATGGTATTTCCACTGTTGTTCCCACTTCCGCCTCTTCCATCTGGGTTGATACAAGACTGCTTCATTTGCATAATACGTTCGATATCTTTCCACTGTTTCATCTGACCCATAGAACCTGTGTGATTTTCCCGAACATATTTTTGTTTTTCCCGTAGACTTTTACCGAGGTTTTCCTGCTCTTGTATCTTTTTAGAGTATTGCTCCCTGAAAAATATACATTTTTTTAAAGAATTACTCCTATTTTAATTGAGAGATGAATCCCTATGCTTGTATAATGGAATACTATAATGTATGCTGACTTAACAATTCAATGAAATTTTATTAAATTATGTCGCCATCAAAGTGACCTTAACTGACCTATAATCATTGATGATACTTTTCCTATCAAAATGAATTATGGAATATAAGGAATACAAATTTTACCATGTAACCAAAGCTGACCAATCAGAATTTCGGGAACTCACCTATAAGATTTTTTCTTCTCCGTAGAATCATGGGATACGTAGGACTTCATCTCATCTGCAATCTTCTGTTGTTGTACCTCTAGCATGCCTTTCATACAGTTAAGGTAGTGGTAGCGACTCTCTTCAGCGTTCACTTCTTCACGTAGCACTCTCACCTCCTGAATATCATACAGGATGTCCATAAAGTCTTTTTAGAATTATCATACAGGGTGTCCATAAAGTCTCTTTAGAATTATCATACAGGGTGTCCATAAAGTCTCTTTAGAATTATCATACAGGGTGTCCATAAAGTATCTTTAGAATTATCATACAGGTTGTCCATAAAGTCTCTTTAGAATTATATATTAAATCTCTCAGGTAACACATGCCGGCTAGACTCTAACGCCCCTAGCAAAGGAGCTTTTGCCAAGGAGTTTCAGTTTTAGATAATTCCAGGTGAGTTCAAAAACAATTTTGGCCCAAAATTACTAAAAAAAATTTCAAAATGGTGAAATACTGCAAGATTTTGAAAGAATTTTTTGGCAGGAGGGATTTGCTCAAACCCCCAAACTCCCTGGTTACAGGTCTATCCTATTTGTTTATGTGACATATTTTATGTATGAAAAAATTATGGACATGAAACTCAAATTAATAATAAAACTAAACTTTTAAGGACCAAATGAAATAAAGTTCTTGAAAATCATTAGTTTTTATAATCAAATGCTAAATAAAATCATAAAAATTTTGCAATAAATAATATTTTATTCACAGAAATGCAAAATGGCATGCCAAGAAATATAAGTTGGTAGTCAAACTGCCATACAATATTTATCTCTTTGCCTGTTAATAAAATCAAATATTAATATTGATAAATAAAGAGTTAAAAAATAATAAAAAAGTATTTACCTGTTCCAGCTTTGATCTGTTGCTTTCAAGTCCAGCAGCACATGTATCATAAGCGGACTTTTTCTCTTCATGTTGACTACTCAGCTCCTGAAAAAATAAATATCACTAAAATTAAAAGCTAAATAATTAGGAGCAAAATAACATTGAAGTTAATGGTTGAATTCCACTGAAGTTAAAAGCAAATACCACTGAAGTTTAAATCAAAATACCCCTAAAATTAATTCACTGATGTTAAAAGTGAGATGCAATCACATACACAGTTGCAAACATGATGAAACAAGATAAAACGGGCTTATAAACCCATGGTCAATCACTTGTGAACATAGACAATCTACATTGGATAAATTTTGCAAGGGTATTCTTTAACATACATAAAACATAACTAATATAACAGATATAAACAATAAACATGGGTTTTAACAATCAAATTATTACATTTTGAAAGAATACCCTTGCAAAATAGCTGTTTTAGGCTCAAGTTTTACAAGAATATTCCCTTCTAAGACAGGATTTATTTTGTTTATTTTGAATAAAAAAAATTTGAACTATGCATTGCTTGAATATTTTGCAAGGATATTATGTTCATATGCAGTAAAACATGTCAATCTATTCAGCCAATATAGAAATTATACTATGATTTTTCTAAAATCATAGTCATTACATTTTCCATAATTTACATATTACCTTGCACTTATTTTACTGCAGTTAATCAGTTTAGCTCACAAAATATTGAAAAAGGTCAATTAAGTCTTTCCCTTTTTTCCTTTAGGTGGAAAAAATACCATTTTCATTTATTTTGTACGAGCCACTGCAGGGGTCTGTTTTTCGAAAATAAATTAAAATCATGATTCTTGAAATTAACAACTTTCACTGTTTCTATGGTTACAATGTGAAACACAAGAGAATTTCCAAAATCACCATCGAGCATATTTTCGAGAAACAGCCCTTGACAAAAAGTCTTATCGGAAAGATACCATAATTTCCTCCTTAAGCAATGCCCTTTGGGTGTTGTAATAAAGCGTCAAATGTGATTTATTTGACGTGTCTAGATGGGATGGATAAACGTGGTGGACATAGGGCACCGGCGGGAATATTGGCCCCTAAAACAAGTGTCATCTCAGACGTTAATGAAACAACTGAACTCAATGTGAGCTTTCAAATCAATTTGAACATCCTGAGCTTAAACTGAACATTTTGACCAATTTAAAAATTTCTAGTCTAATGTGAACATTATGATCAATTTGAACATTTTTAGCTCAATGTGAACATTTTTAGCTCAATGTGAACTTTTTTAGCTTGATGTGAACTGAAAGATCAATTTGAGCATTTCTAGCACTAAGTGCACATTTTAGCTCAGTGTAAACTTTTAGAACAGTTTGAACTTTTAGATTAATTTGAATATTTCTAGCTCAGGTAAACACGTCAAGCTCAAGGTGAACAATCAGAGCTCAAAGTGGACTTTTAGATCAATATGAATATTTCTAGCTCAAGGTAAACACTTCAAGCATAAGGTGAACATTCATAGCTCAAAGTGAACTTTTAGATCAATTTGAATATTTCTAGCTAAGGTGAACATTCATAGCTCAAAGTGAACTTTTAGATCAATATGAATATTTCTAGCTCAGGTAAACACTTCAAGCTCAAGGTGAACATCCATAGCTCAAAGTGAACTTTTAGATCAATTTGAATATTTCTAGATCAAGGTAAACACTTCAAGCTAAAGGTGAACATTCATAGCTCAAAGTGAACTTTTAGATCAATTTGAATATTTCTAGCTCAAGGTAAAAAACTTCAATAACAAGGTGAACATTCATAGCTCAAAGTGAACATTAAGATCAATTTGAACACTTGTTAACTCAATGTGAGCGCTTTTAAAACAGTAAATTTTTACCAGTCCCACTTCAGACAAGCCTTTTCACAAAATATTCTAAATTTCACCTTCTTTGAATAATAAGAAAATTCAGAATTTCATGATCTTACCATCAATATTGATTAAGAAAATTAAATGAATTATTTCAAATCATAGTGTTCCGATTTTGAGAAATAGACTAAATATTTTCATTTGTAATGTCACTCTTCCTTAAGTTTTACCTGTGATCTTTGCCTAAGGGGTCTTAATTCTTTAATAATGGGGGCCAGGGATGTTTTCTTGTCCTGTATTTTCACAGTAAGGTTGTTTACCATGTGACTGATGTCTTCAAGAGTTTTACCTGAAAAAATATTTTACACATTTAAAAAACGTGCTACATGAATCTGAGTATTGTTCATCAGTTTTAAAATACACCTATCAAGAAAGGTGAAATCTTTTAATTACAACAACACACCTATCAAGATAGGTGAAATCTTTTAATTACAACAACACACCTATCAAGATAGGTGAAATCTTTTAATTACAACAACACACCTATCAAGAAAGGTGAAATCTTTTAATTACAACAACACACCTATCAAGATAGGTGAAATCTTTTAATTACAACAACACACCTATCAAGATAGGTGAAATCTTTTAATTACAACAACACACCTATCAAGAAAGGTGAAATCATTTAATTACAACCTGGCCATTTTTCTGAAAAATACTGAGCTATCAGGATTTTTTTTAACCAAGACAATGTTTTTTTATATGTTGATCCGGGCGTACATTAATATATGCTTTGTAAAGTTAACATTCCTTATTCAATAGACCTTTCAAATAAAAAAAAGAATTAACTTATATTGCTAATCACAATGGAACAAATCTTAAAATTTTATTGTTAAAATTATTATTTACTGCCACTGTAAACCAAGAATTCTGAACTTTTGGCAAAGTAACCCGAGAATAAGAAAATACCAGATATTCAAAGGATGTGTCCGGGTATATGCCCTTTTGGTCCCTCAGTCAAATGTATGTTAAATATGTTTTTTATTACTGTCCTAGTTATATTTGATAAGTATATTTACTTTTTCACGAGTTTTGATGCAAAATTAACCCCCTGCTGAGAGTCAGAATAAGTATCTTAACCAAAAATAAATAGTCATTATCATAGAATAAAAACCTCAATGGCAACATGTATGACTTGCAAAGAAGAAATAACTTAAGACCCATGAAGAATTTAAAAGAAAATCATATTTTTGAAATATATTTAAGGATTAAAATTTTTTTCAAATTTTTGAATTTCCCGCCAGTTTAATTTGAAGGGGGAAAAACAAGATGGCTGCCATTTGATGTAAGAAATATCAGGAAAAAAGTTGCTTCACTTTTAGTTTTCACAATGAGCACAGTTTTCCGGTTTAGGTTTTTTGACTGATTCTGACTCTTCATCACCAGGGTCATGTATAGAGATTATAAAATTGAAACCGGAATGTTGTGCTCAGCATGAATTTGACTGAAATATGTGTAACTTCACCAACTCAATTGAAGTCTCAAAACTGGATGCTCAGTAACTTTGAGTGACTATAATCCCTTGATTACCCAGATAAACACCAATTCACTTATCCAGAAATGCCATTCAATGTCTATACAAAGAAAGTAAGCAATGTTTTGGAGGATATGTTTCAAACCTTTTGTATAAATAATTCATTTAATATTTGCCATTGATTTTTTTTCAATTCTGACAAAGTGATATGCACTGTCTTTGATGCCAATATTCTTCATTAATTGTAATACAAATTGATATTTTTGTACTCTCAGAAGAAGGATAAGATATTGAAGTTTAATAATATGTGTGATTGAGTTGGTTTTTCAGACATTACAATTTTCAATATTTTCTAAGTCGATACCCAGACTCATTCCCAGACTCATCCTTTATAGGTCATCAAAACTATTTTACAAAATTTTCAATTGGGTGCAGACAATTTTACCTTTCATTTCATCAAGCTCAGACTTCAGAGTTGATACTTTTTCCAGCTCTTCTTTTGTATCTCGAAATCCAGACACTCCTTTCTTGGACTCAATTGCAGCCTAGAAGACAAAATAAAAAATTGAGTAAAAAGTGGAATACATCTGTGAGTGAAACACTTTTCAGAGTCCCATGACCAACTGACTTTATGTTAAATAAAAGTGGAACACTTTAGAAGTGGGACACTTTTTAGATGCTCCTCTCTGAATGTGATCCATTACTGTACTTTATTCCCTGTCGATAATTTTTCTTTTTCACATAATTTTTATATCAAATATTCTTATATGGAAAATGGTCACTGCACAATAAAAAGTACAATCGAGTGTCCCAAAAACACAGGACCACTGTCAGTATTTTGATATTGCACCAATCATATTCAAATTTTCCCATAATGAACTTTCAAGTATTGCAACTACTGTTCCAGTGACAGAACTTTGGGGAATACCCTCTTCGCATAGACGACTACTTGGTCATTTTTCCATAAATCATTCAATCTCAGTCTTTATCCTTTAAAATTGCATTCCCTTGTATAACTACTACAAATTGAGAGTTATTTATCTATGGCATTTATCCATATCTCATTTTCTTTAACCCTTTCACGACGATAGACTCCATATGGAGCCCTATTATGGAATACCTTTCGGGATGATAGGCTCCTTTTGGCAACATTATTTTTTTATAAACATTAATGAAATGACAATATCTCCAGTTCTATTCAGTATATTTACACCAAGTTTTGACGAGTTGTTCTAATGTGATAATCCTTACTAAGAATTGTATTTCAGTGATAAAATTTAAGGTATAGGTCCCGGGGCGTAGGTGATTTGCAGTTTTCCCCTAAAACCACTCTACTTATCTGTCACCAAGGCCAACATTTTCCTCTAATATTCACGTCAGGAAACGGTTAATACTTGTATTTTACAGTTATCCACCTAATCGCTCCCCAGTATTTCAAGGTATACTCGAAGGGCACATTAGACCACTAAAGACCTAGTCTGTTTGGATTACTTTTCTTTCTTTACAAACACAACAAATATACATGTACTATGCTTACCAAGTGGTCATTGATTTGGTCATCCCTGGATTTCAAAATCTCCTCAGTTCTCGTTAGGACTCCATGCTCCGCCCTCAGTTCCGCTAGCTCCTGGCGTTTCTTTTTATAGATGGTGCTTTTCCCTCTCAGCTTGTTCACGTAGCGTTTAAACTGCAATAATTCATTATATTTATATTCATTCACATTAAAACACATTGTAAGCCAGTTTTCTAGAAACAGTTTACAGGATGACCAGCATTATGGACATCACATAAACTGAAGAGAGTATGTCGAGACAATGTAAACTGAGACAGCAGGGTGAGGTTTACAGAAAAGGAATTTTTGAGATTTAAAAAATTGGTAAGGCGGTCTACAAATGATCTTGCTTGTCAGGTCTGGTGAAAAATACCATGGCTAACTTAATAATGTTTCATAATTATACTGAGTCACTTTTCTGTACTGTTTCATGATTATTTTATGTTATTACTTTTTCATGATTAAGATACCATTTTAAAAGAGTTCGCAAACGTTTTCGAAACATTTAAATTCTAGACAACTCTTTTCACCAATTAGAATCAATCATTTAGAAAGAGGTACAAGCAATGAATCTATCAATCAAACTAAAACCATTCTCCAAAAGACAAAGTTACATAACTCACATCATCTCCTTTAAGGACTTCTCCCCCGTCACTATCTTTAACAGTCTTGCGTTTTTCTTCTATCTCTTGCTCTGCCTGTGCTAATTCTTCTCTTGCCTCAGCGAGGTTGTCTGCAGCTGCCTCTTTCTTGCGTCCTATAATCACCGCCTAAGAAGAACAGAATTTGAAATAAATAATATATTATTATAGAATTCCATCAGGTATGTCAGCAATATCTTGCCCAATGCGTGTATTGTTCGTAGCTGCTTCATCTTTTGCTTCGGTAAGATTGTCTGCGACTGCCACTTTATGTGCTTTAATCGCAGAGCATCAGAACATTTTTTCACTACCTGTTTCTTACATGCAATTTTTATTTAAATCATAATGCAAGACTAAACATGAGATTGGCATTGCCGTAAAGAATGCAGTGAATGTGAGCCATTTCTGTTGCAATCATATTTCCTTGGAGATGAAACGAAAATGAAACAAGGCAGCAACAAAAACATGATTCCAAGAAACTTGCAGGATTGCTTGGGATGGATTTTAAATTGAGCAAATTAAAGAAAAAAAAATTTTATCATGACACAGGGCCTGGTTGTTTCAAAGGAAATGCCTTATGGTATGGTCTAGTGTATATGTGTACTTATGGTCCCATAAGTTTAACAACACATAGAAAGATACACATTGCACTCTTTGTTAAAAATGGCAACAAATTAATTTACCCAGCATGGCCAAGAACTAATCAGATCAAATTTCAAATTGAACAGTTAAGCAGTTTTCCTGGAACTTTGATCACAAGATTTATATGGCGCCTGCCCACCCTGACGCAGAATGCACGCAAATTAGCACAACATGACAAAATAGCAATTATATATACCATGGGTGTTCGTATTAGACAAGTTTAACTGTAATGGTTACATGTACCTGCTGTCTAAGTTCTCAGAAATTCAAATCTGACTTAAGATTGAACTCATAATATTATGAGCAAATAGGTGGTGACATTTTGTCATGTTAATGCCTTGTCTTAATTTATCCTAGTCTTTATGCTAAAACAAAACTTGAAAAGGGAACACCTGCCGATTGGGACACCTGTGGCCAGCACCAGGGGTATTCCGATTAGACAGATTTTACTGTAAGGGCTACATGTACCTGCTGTCTAAACATAGCCACTCTGTCAACTGTAGGGTCACCACTTCTCATCCTCTTCTCCACAAGCTGGTTGATCTCAGCGTTGAAATCATTTATCTAATAAACAATAAAATAAGTAGAATTATAAAGAGATTACTACGGTATTTAATTCGAGGGGTTAATTTGCAGAATGGTCAAATTTTATCATTTTCCTAATCTTAATTTTCCTAATGACGAGAAACTTCCCATTGGTGGATAACATTATGAAGATGATATTTACGACATGCAATTTTCCGAACCTGGTAACCACTCTGTGTAAACCCCTCCCCACGTATGCATTTAACCCAACATGGCCCCAAACACATACCTTATTGGTCAGTTGATCAAGGTCAGACTGACCCATGGCAGGCTCAGATACAACTCTCTGTAAATCCTGGGTGTATTTTCTCTTCATCTGGATCTCTTTAGGGAGTTTCTCATTCACCATGTAGCTGTTCACTTTAGTCTCTTCTTCAAGACGTTGTATTAAGCCTGAATTAAGAAAAGTAGAGGCATGTCAGAAACATTTGAGATTAATGAATTTATCAGTTTTTCATTCCACTTTTAGCACTTAGCTTAAATCTCTTCTTCAAGGCTGGAGTTATTAAGAAAATTAGAGGTACAAACTGTTGACAAATCTAACAAAGACAAAATAACAAATAAAACAACAACGTTGAAAAAATTGAAGAAACTGCAAGTGGCCAGTCATATATGTATTGACCAATCAGATTCAGAGTTATATTCATACCTTCTGGTGTTGCACCAATAGCAGCATTTCTCATGTCCTTCAATTGGTTGTTTAACCTTTGACATCTTTGCTCTGCTTGGACCAGCTAGAACACAAACATTCCAATTTCAATCTAACTGGACTAAAGTGGTTAAATCATTAAGAACCAATATTCTGTCTTATATGGAAAACTAAAAATGACCAATGTCAAATTCAAAAATTAATTTAATCAAGTAATAATTGTTGCTAAGTGGACAATCCAAAAGCAAAAGTTGCAATTGTACATAAGTTGCAATTTTACATAATTTCAAAATAGAACTTGATAAAAGAAACATTGCATTGTAATTTTAAAATGATATGAAAATAAATTTTAAATATATATATAAAAAAAAAATTAAGGCAAAATGAATTGTGACTATAAATTGTGCAATTATAGCTGAACTCAGAATGGTATAATCCTGTATTTCACTTACTGCATTCCTCTGCTCTTGTTTCTGTTGATTTAGTTTGTTTTCTTTCTCCCTCTCTGCTCTGAGGTCCCTGGCAACAGCTAACATAGGACCAGTGTTGGGTTGGCTCTCCACCTGGAAGTAAAGTAAATACAAGTACGTTTGTTAGTTGGTATATTATTTTGAAATCACAGTTAACATCATCCATATCTTAAATCACCAAAAATATTTCCCAAGGTTTGTTTTTGTACAAAACTTTTAGGAATTAATGTGATATATGGAATAAAATAAGAAACATAAAATAAGAGAATTAAATTCAAATAATCATTTCAAATGTTCATGTTAAATCAAGTAGGTTTGTAGGCCCAATTTATGATTGGATTTTATAAATCATTCAGCTGATCATAATTAATAAAGGTTACCTTTCTTTTGAGTCTCTCTACTCTTTTCATTAACTGCTCCCGTTCATCTTCCATTGAGGCAATGTCCTTCTTGATATCTGAAGGGTTAAAGCCACTGTTCTTAGCAGTCTCGGATTCTTTGTGGACCTGCTTGAATTGCTCAATGAGATCTTCATACTGGAAAAATATAGAAAAATTCTTAAACATGTTCTTCAGGTTGGATATAATTAAATCACAAAAATATTTTTTTGTTCTTTTCACAACCTTTATTTTACTAAACAGGACTTTTCGGATCCTGTCTGGATCCTTTTTCAACTGGATCAAAACTGAACTGAAGCGCTCAGAAAATTAAATAAAAACAATATTACGTCATATTAATTCACCAAAAATTCATTCTTTTCTTCTTTAAAAAAATATCTTTGTGATATAGAAAAATTGTTCAGCATTTAATCATAAAATTTCAAATTTTATGTTATCTGTGGCAGTCTCAGACCGCTTTTTTGAACAGTTCAATGAGATCTTTAAATTGGAAAAATATTATCACAATTATTAGGAATTTTAACTGTAACCTTTATTTCAACATTCACGTGGCAGTCCAATTTTTCATTCATTCAAACAACAAAGAAACGTATAAGCCAACTTGAATTGTTCAATTAATGTGATCTTTATACTGGACAAATACTGAAAATGTATCATTCAAAGACAATGTTTTTTTTGTGTTTTTGGATTAACATGTGTTCACATTTCAAGGATTTATAAACATATAACTCAATGGGAGAAAACAAATTTGGATTTGAGAAAAGGTGTCCACATTGAGGGGTGTTCAGATTAGAGGTGTTCAGATATACAGGTTTAACATACCTGTATATAAAGGTCATTAACAGCATCATCTTGCAGGATTTCCTGAGGAACATCTATCTTCACAAGGTATTTAGCCAAGTAGGCCCTCTTCTTCAGATCTGGGATTCTGTGTAGCAACCATTCTAGTATAGGATACACTACTGGCTTGTCTCCTACCACTAAGCCTTGTCTGAATACAGTCCTAAAATTAAGTATGATTAAGATTATAATATGTTCTTCTATCATTTGGTGTTTATTTTATTCTTAGCCATGTGGTATTCTCACTTATGTGCCATATCAAACCATTCTGTCCCATGTTAAGCCAATATGCAGACGGATGAACTGACAGACGTACATAAGTACATAATGGACAGACAGAAGAACGGATGAATGCGTTCTCTATATCCCTCTGAACTTCATTTGATGGGATAAATGCTTGATGTTAAAAAGCAAATGAATGTATGTCTGGAGATATATGAAAGTAGAATATATGAATATTACACTTTTTATTGAAAAATCAAAATGACCACCAAGTAATTTTCTTAGCATGCCCAAAATCTTATCAGACGTTGACTATCGTCTGCTCTTGCATCTGTAAAAATTTCAGGCTAAACAGGCAAGTGGTTTTCCTGGAATTTTCCTGGACGATAAGATATATGTGTTACAAACCCACAAAAATCCACTCACGCACATGAAGATTGAAGATTACAATATAAATCTTTGAGTATGTATGATAAATAAAAAGCAATGATAAGTAAAAGCTCATAGTAAAAGTTCATTTTGCAATTACCAAAAGATTGATTTTTCATAATTTACTCATTTACTAATATGCACATTATCCATTGTTCTTTACTTTTTATGAAACAGAAATTATTAAAGTATATTCAACACAATAACAAGACAAACACAGAATTTTGTTGGTTCTACACTGTATACTAGATAGTATTTCTATCCCTCCTTATCTTATCAAAATTTTGCACAATATTTCACTAACTAAACAGTATATTGAATTGAACATGGTGATTCTTTACAATTTACAATGATGAACATCAATATGAATTAGTTATCTTATATACCATGTATACATAACAGTGTATTTACTAAATTCTGTAAACAGCTTCTTAAAAACATCATGGGAGTAAAAATTCGTGAAAAACAATTGTCTTTGATTCGAGTGTGACATTAAGTACTGGTCAAGATGCTCTGAGCCAATTACTTTTGATATCCTGCATTACTCGAGTAATGCTGGATATGATTTATGATTTTTCTGCACTTGGTACTTGGCATAAGTGCAGAAAAATCATAAAAATGTTAGCCATGCTGCATTCTGGCCAAAGATGAACTTTGAACCAGTTGCAATGAAGTCTTCCTATATCCATTCTGAAAAAGTAAGCTCCAGATCAAGACCAAAAGAGAAATTTTGCGACCTGGGCTAGTGGATCATATATTAATCTTGACTTGCTTTTCTCAACCTTTTTATACAGTAATAATTCACTGGTCACAGTTAAATCGTGAAAGACAATTGAAATTCAGGAATTAAAGAAGACAAAATGTGACACTGTGTCTCATCTATGAATGACTAAAGGGACTCAACCTCTAATTAAAACCTAAAACCTACAATTCAAAATAAAAATATTAGAACCTCATAAATTTTCATTACACACCTTTAACTATGCAACTTGTAGAAAATGGGTGCATAGTAATAATCATGAGGTTCAAACAATATTTATTATAAACCTCAATTTTTTATAGAAAAGAAAGTCTGAATGAAATCAATTGATGGTGAAAGTTACAAATTGGTCTGAATTTTCTGAATTTTGCTACATATTTGGCTCATATGAAGAGAGGTTGTGTCACTTTAATTGTAATCCAACATAGAAAATGTGCAATGATTTATTTCTAAAATGAAATGGTTGAAGCTATTGCTTTACTTACACTGGATCTTCTTCTCTAAATAATGATGAAATAAATGTAGAAATGTAAACATTTTGTATCTTTAATATACACTGTTCCACAGCTGGATGACACTAACTGCAGTTAGCTTCATTCAAGATGGTTGCCAAGATTCTTTAGTTAAACTAAGTTGAATCTTGATTCCAAAAGTTTTGCCATGCAAATTAATAAGGCTACGATTGTATTCAACCACAAATGAATGCCCAAACACCTGCAATATTAGAGAATTTTAAAGAAAACGGCTTCACTTAGAATGACTAACTGAAGTTGATGATCTATGTCATCATCAACTTCAGTTAGAGTCATTCTAAGTGAACCCATTTTCTTTAAAATTCTCCAATATCACGGTTGTTTGAGCATTCATTTGTGGTTATTTCCCATCGTTGCTTTATTAATTTGAATGGCGAAACATTTGGAATCCAGATTCAACTTAGTTAAGCTGAAATGGAAGGTTTATCTAAAACAAAAGTTTCGGCAACTATCTTGAATGAAGCTAACTGGAGTTAGAGTCATCCAGCTGTGGAACAGTGATGTAGTAATTAAGCTATTCATCTATTAACCTCTTGAATCCCAGGCTCTAAAATTGGCATGAAACCAGAGAATTTTTCATTTTTTGCCACCTTTTGACATTTTATTACATACCTATACAACTTTAGATGCTCAGCTTAGTAAAATTGGACGGCAGAGATCATTTCTACATGTTTTAAAACAATTTTTGTGTAAATTGGATGAAAATTGTTCAAATGAGAGCAATTTTTGTGAAAAATTTTGTGACGGATTTTCTCGTCCCTCTGGGCACCAGTCTTATTTCATTTGTGACGGATATATCCGTCACTCTGGGTATTCAAGAGGTTAAATAATTTGCTGTTCAGTCGGGCATGCTTGCTGTGATGGTAGTCCCCATCCCTTAACCTAAAACATCTTTCATTGAATTCTAAAAATTTCAGGAATCAAAATAAAGTCTGGTCAACTGGTTCTTGTTTCCAAAAGTCCCCTTAAACATGTTAAAAGGCAATTCACCCACTAAGGAGTAACACTGGCACCCTCTATAGGCACTTTTTTAATTTTGTCGTATTATATAGGTACATGTGTGGGAAAAATTGTCAGATATGATATTTGAATGTTCTGGTGATGGTGTGTAATGGTTGCAAAAACGATCAAAACAAAAACAATCAAAAAGTGCTAGCAACCTTTGCCCGCCTGCATCATTATTTTTGATTTTTTGGTTATTCCCCAGGTTTGTGTCCATAATCAGGGTACTCACTATAACCTTTGATTACCAGAAATTGTATCACAAATTACATGTATGTTTTGAACATTTGAGCTTTGTCAAAAGAAAACATGTATTTCCATTTAAAAAATCTCAAAACCTCTTGGCGATACACTTTTACGTCAGTGATGAACTCCTTTAAAAATTTAATATTGACACTTACAAATTACTGGCATCTGTTGGTGGTTTGTATTTCAGGATACGTAAAACTCCAAATATTCTGACAGCTGTTTGATCGGCACTCTCCTCTCTGATGTCAATTTTATGCTGTAGTGAAAGACAACAAAATTAGAAAACAAAACACTATTCAGGGATGTCATTAGAATTCCTGAAAGAAGGATCAGTGGCATATAAAGGAGGAGCAATAATGGAAGGTGGCTGCGCGAAGCGCCGCACAAATGGCGTGCGGCGCAAACTAGGGGGGTCTGCCCCCCCCAGAAAATTTTGAAATTTAACCTCTCTGGTGCATTCTGAGTATATCTCAGCGCAAAATTTCCAATAATAATATTTATATAAACAATAAGAAAAATAAGAAAAAATTGTGTTGTTAGAAAACTTTATTTTTATTTTTTCAGATAAATTATGCAGATTCAGTATTTTCCTGTCACTAATATCAAACTGTATATGAGCAATTGATCTCAATAAAGCAGATCAATACATAATTTATTGTAATTAATTTTTTATTAATTCTTAATTCCTTTGTTTTTCAATGTTGCCCCTTGTTCCTCCTCACTCTGATGTTTAATAAACTCAATATTCCTTTCTGACACATTATCAATCTCAATGAAATATAAGGATCAACATTCAATAGTTTGATATGTATTTTTGACTTGTAATATTTTATTTGTTTTCAAATGTTGCCCTTTGTGCTTCTTCACTATGATGTAAGATAATGCCAAGAAGATCAATTGTATTAATTAAACAGTTTGTTTTCAAGTTTATGTGTAATTGTTAATAATAATATCCATTGAAAGTTGGCAGGACAGTGATAAAGGTTTTTTGCTACTGACCCATTAATCTCAAAGCAATGACGTTTTGGGTTGAGAGGTCAATCAAAATGGTGGCCGGATTACAGTAAGATAATTATCTCAGTGTTTCTCTAAAACACTGCTAATTATCTGCCTATTATACTTAGATTTTGTCTTCACAAGGTAGGCCAATTTATATTCTTTCATTTGATATGTTTAACTAAATTGAAAGCCGGAGATTTTCGTCTGAAAGCCGGAGAATTCTCCGTGATCCGGCTTGTAATGACATCCCTGCTATTAATAATTTTAACCCTTACAAGCCAGTTAAGTAATCAATGACAGAGAAATGATGAGGATCAAAAATAGGTGAAGTTGGCAAAACTAAGCTTTAAAAGATTACTTCTTTTTTATTGGCTCGTGCTGAGGCTTTTTTTGGATTTAGTAGTAAGTGAGTTAATTCCTCAAGCAAAAGTTTAACCCTAAGGTGTTAGTTTATAATAAAATTGCGTTAGAGAGGGTTTCAAACAACATACGCACATTTTACAACAACACCATGAAAAGTGTGCACTGATTTTCGGCAACATGATTTCCTAAATACAACAGAAATACCAGCGACTTCTTGATTTAGAATTGTGAACAATTTACAGCATTAAAAAAACTTCGAATCTATTTTATTAATATCTTCGGAGAACGAGAATCAAATTGACCCATCTTCACTTTTTGATATGTTTGGATGTTTTCTAAGAGGTCCAGGTACTCAGATCTTCACAATTTAAAGATCTTAATCAGTTCAAAATGTTCAGATTTTTTCTACTTTTGCCCCTCGGTAAATTACAACCGCGTTAATAGTAAGCTTGGCAATTTACTTATACAGTGAAACTTGACTTGGAAAACACTCTTCTGTAAGGAACACCTGCTTTACAAGTTATAGAACGTCTTTCAAAATATGCATAAAATTTTAATTTTTCAGTCTGTATCCCTATTTATCAATACAATTCATTACAACACTGCAAACATCTCCTTCACACGAGCCTTCATTTTTTTTAAATGATCTCTTGTTTTTGCGATGAGATTTTTATCCAATATTTTATACTACATGTATCTATTCTCTGCTGCTCTTATGAGAAAGAAATCATTACCTTGATATCAATATCAGCCAATACATCATTTAAAACTTGGAGAAGTTGCAGAGACTCCAGAGAATCGAAGCTGATAAGATTGTAGCTCTTTGAGAATGGAGGCTTGTTCAGCTCATTAACGATATACTTAAGTTGCTCAGTCATTTTTGTTCCCTAATCTGTTAAAATAAAATATATAAATACATACAAAGTAATCAGCAGACAATGGTGAGCAATCTTCCTCTAAATAGCTCCTCATGTTTGTGACGTATAAAGCATAGGGGCATGTTTGAACAATGATCTTGTATCTGAATCAGTTTTCAGCTTCCACACAAAATCACCACGTCTATACTACAAATTGATCTGATCTAAATGAATTACACTGCATAATCTGGTATTTTATAATGATGAAAGAGGATTTTGGAGGAAGAATTTACTAAATTCACTCTATTATCGCCCATGGAAACAAACAAATTATTATAGCTCTGTTTAAAATAATAAAAGATTCATTATGAGCGATATTTTTGTGATGATTGTATAGTTGAGTCGCTAGTGTATCTTAAAAATTAAGTTAAACATAAATATATATCGATATATACTCACAAATTGCCAATGTTTTCATATTTGCAGATATTTTCGAAAATAAATTTGGAATGCAGAACCCGGATGTGAAATTAGCTAGCCAAAATGGATTCGATATTAATACACTAACTTAAATGCAAATTAGCAAAATATTGACAGAAGACAACTGAAAATAATCTTTAAAATAAATTTAATCTACATTTTATGGCAAATTATTGATGAAAGAATAGATTTTTTTCCCGATAAATGAGACTATCCAAACGTGTACTTCCGGTTTGAAAAGTGGAAAAAAGAAAGAGGTGAGCTTTTCATTGTTTTTGCAACGTTCTACGGGTAAAATATTAAAATCCCACCGCTGTTATTTGCAATCAGCCAATTTGTTTACATGGATTATATAATTTATGAAATTTTATGCATTCTTTGGTATAAACTTCATCTTTGAAATATCCATATGCCGGTATTTTTCGTCCTGACTGTAGCCTACTATTTTTTTCAAGGCCTGTCTGCGTCGCTAACATGCTAAATATAAGAGTTAGCTGACGTTTGGGAGTCTGACTTACCTTCTAAAGGTTAGAACCCGAATCTTAATGAAACCATATCACCTTTGTTCCGTCAACCATGGAGCATTTGCCACAACATCCAAGAGGTAAATCATGGATCGAGAAAATGAATGATTTCCTTGTAAGTTCCGGAAGTTTCAATACGAAAAATTACCGAACATATGTGAAAACCGAATATTTGTTCGTTGTTTTCACGATTTACAGGTTCGTTTGTTCTTCAATGTTTTGGTCTAAATTATAAAGCATCACCAACAGGTCTTTCTCTATTAATCGACTAATACAGCAGACGGCTCATATTTCTACGTAGCATTTCATTCAGACCAATAGTGGGAGTGTAGATCACGCAGTTTCGTTCGTTGCGTACTTCACTTGAAATTGGTAATTTTTAATATTGACTACTTCACTTAGCTTGGCGGATGTAGAACATTGCTTAATATTCTTTTAATTTTCACACCAGACATGCTTGGTTGAAGTTCAAGGGTCAATGCGTTATTTCGTGATAACTACAACGCCTTCCCGGAAGTCAACATTGATGAAAAATGAAAAAGTCGGAAAAGCATTTACGCTAATTTCTATCAAATGCTATGTTTATGCATCATCATCGACGCAACAAAGGTGATATAGTTTCATTAAGATTCGGGTTCTAACCTTTAGAAGGTAAGTCAGACTCCCAAACGTCAGCTAACTCTTATATTTAGCATGTTAGCGACGCAGACAGGCCTTGAAAAAAATAGTAGAAGTCAGTCAGTGTCAGTCAACTGGAACTAAGATTTTCGACATCTAAAAAGTCACTCGACTTTTTTGCAAAAAAAAACGTCCAAAAAGTAACAGTCGCATGGATTCACATTGTCGTACTTACAAAATGATCCACCGCCTAACCATCAAACTCGGTAATATTGTACACGTAACTATTAATTACCGTATATTCCAATAGAAAACTGGGCTTGCTTTTCAACATTTCAAGCGAAAATTCTCTATACGGAGCTTTTGTTTTTCTGACGTAACTTCTTCTAAGAAATCGTTGACGTGATAGGTTCAGTTCATCTTATTTCGAAAGGGGTGTCATCTATTAAGAATATTTATTTTCATCTTGTCCAGTCCTATATACAACCTGCCCTTATCCTTTTGGCTTGTAAAACCGCGTAGTAATGTTGAAATTATGGAGTAGATTCTCTGAGAGTGGCGACATGTCTGCATCTCTACCATCTTGCGTTTGACACCCCTTGTTTTGGGCGAGTCCAAGTAAACCGCACATCCGGGTGATTAGAAAATAGACATTTTTTTTTTAAAATCGAGCGGCAACAAAGATACTTCTGGTCAAACTGAGTTTATGACGAAACTTATGAAAGAATCAATAAAAGGTAAGTGGTATACATTAGGCCAATTTGAAACTTCAGAATGCTTTCTGTGATTAAAAATCACAAAAAAGTCGAGTGACTTTTTAGATCTCGAAAATCTTAATAGATCTAGCCAAAGAGGATTTGATCGCAGGGATGCAACTTAATACTCAATTTTAACCGTGATCATATCAACATTGAAAGTGTCGTCATTTATCCCGTGCCAGGACGCTGGCATTTAATAATAGATCTAACTCAACTGACTAGATTCTTTAAATTCATAATCAACAGTCCCACAGGAAGTTGTATCAAGTCCTTTGTGGTCCTTTACGTGGCTTTTTGGTGTCTTCACTCTTTAGTTGTTGGTTAGAGCATGGGCTTCAAGTTGAAAGCCCATGGTTAGAGTGAGGACGCTAAAAAAAGCATGTAAAGTTAGAGAGTGAGGACGCCAAAAAAACACATAAATCATGATATCTCCATATATGGCAGATTATTGAGATGGTGGCCTGAATTCCAAATGTCCTTGAGATCTAGCCTTATAATCTTTCCAAATGAGAATGTAATACTTTGGCTCATACACATGTATGTATTAACATCGACACAGGAGCAATGAAGCGCCCTCTGTACACTACATTGGGTTAGAAAAATTCTATATAATATAATATAAAGAGAAGGATTGTAAACACGCCGAAACCCACCTACTGCAAATTGTTATAGTGATTGGAAATTGCTTGTTAGGGTCTCATTTGGGATATAAATAAATATCTCATAACATGAATAATTCAAACAGTTTGATACTCCTTTGATACTCCTTTCTTATTTGTTTCCAACAAATGGCTCAATGCCTGATTCTCATTTACTGATCTCAAATTCTCAAATTCACCTTTCTCTCCATATCTTCCATAATCTTTCATCAATCAAGCTCTATTTCACATCTGATCTACTCAAGATTTGACAATATATAACTTTGATGCTGTTAACTTGAAAAAATTGTCAATTAAGCTGTTTGTACCTACATTGTACTGACATTTTCCAAAACATATGGTTTAATTTTAAGAGTTTACTGATTGTTATTCAAGAAAAGAAGGATTACACTTGGAAAATTAGTTTTGTGTGTTACATATATCAGGAGTTAAACCCAGAGTGTGATTAATGATAGTTAACTAAAGTGTTATTACATCAAAGCATCGTACTAGTTCAAAACAGATAGATCTACTGACCAAATCGAGACTCGAGAGTTGTTTTATGTTTTTCAGAAAATGACCAGTATAAGTGACGCTGATAAACCACTGAAGGTAGACAAATGGGATGGAGTTGCCGTGAAAAATGCAATGGATGATTCAGTGAAAAAGGTAATGTTTAACAAAATGGTTGCCAGAATTCAAAATTGCCACCCAGAATTTTATCAGCTTTATATATCTTAAAATTGCCTTAAACCTATAAAGTATCATCTGGGAGGCAGGAGTTTGAATGTGAAATAAACCAATCGTCAATTTAAACAACATCCATTAATTTAAAGCTTAGAATTTCTCATTGGATTGGCCAAAATTATGTTATGGCATAACATAAAAATATACATCCCTTAGACGTTAGTCTCATCCCTCCCAGGCTTGTAAAGGCCTGAAAACATTGTATTCAATATTTGATTTTTCCAGGTATTTACTGACAGATATGGCTATGTGGAATCCCATACTCTTATGGATGGACGTCTTATAATCTGCACTATTGCCGTTGCTTTCGCTGGTTTTGCCCTTATATGGGACTACCTCAATCCATTCCCACAATCTCGACCAGTGCTCATCACATGTGTACTCACATATCCTTTTACAAACATCAAAATAGATCATTTAGTATTTTTTATTATTTTATATCTCATTATAGGATGGGAGTGCATCCCATATATCACCGTTTAAAAGTGAAGGTACATGTACAAGGTCAATTTTATGTGAAAAATCAGACAAACTTCAAACGTATCAAATATTCAGTTCAAAACAATACCTGAAATTACTTTAATTTCTTCTTTGGATTTTTAGTCTTCCAAAAATCTTTAGCAATAGACTCAATGCAAGTTGAAATAATCTTAACTTATCCATTATTGAATATTGAAGTGATATTACCGGTATATTTGAAACATACAGTGTCTGCATTCCTGAGTTAACCACCAATTTATGAAACTAGCCACTGCTTACAGGCACCCAGGTAATATTAAATGATTGGGGTGGGGGGTTAACTGGCCAAAAATTCATACAGTTTTTCATCATTTTCGAGCACTTTACAAGTGATTCAAATTTGAACACCCCTTGGAATTTTTCAAAAATTGAACCCCCATGGCAAAAACTGGCTATTGGCCTGATAATGAATTTATATTGTGTTTTTTTTCATACAATATCTTCTTTAACTGTTCATACTTATTTCTTCATGATGGGTGTACTGACCTTATATACCACCTACAGGGAAAAATTGGTATTCATGTTAGCACTAGATAAAGACAAATCTGGAGTCGACCCAGACAATGTGTGGCAGATCTCCTCCTTAATGAAAAAGTAAGTGATATTTTCATAATGGGCAATCCTATGTCTATTTAAAGCAATAAACATAATGTATAAGATACCACAAAGCATTCAACATTTTTGACCATCTCATTTCCTAGCACTTCTATATATGCCCCTTCAATGTATGTTCGTCGTGAGTCCAATTTTTGACTCCTATTCTCAAATTGCGACTGCTTAATAAAAACTCATGGTTGATTTTCTTTTTGTAACTTTTCCTCCCCTCAAGAGTGCTAACAAGTTTAATTGATTACGCTTTTTATTTATTTATTTTTTATTTTTGTACTTAGTGTACTAAAGTAGCCTGTATAAATAGAAATTTTGCAACAATTTCAATGCTTTGGCTTGATGCATTATAAGCCATTTAAGCATGATCAAATAAAAATAAAATAAGATATTAGAAAAATAGGTCACACTAGATCCTTTTAATGCCCTTATGGCAATTAAAGAAAATGCTTTGGCATCAACTGAACTATTAATCCATTATGGTGAAAAAGATTTGAGAAATGTAAAATTCACTTAAACTTGTAAAATGGAACACATTTAAAGTAAAGGGGAAACCTTTATAAGTGGAACACTTAAGAGTCCCAAGACCAACTGACTTAATCTTAAATGAACCTCTTTAACTTTAACTTGAATACCCCAGAAGTGGAACATTAAAGAGTTACCAAATCACTTTCACTTGCCAATTTCACTAGAATTTCTCACAACAGGCTGAATAAATGAAAACCACGCGGTACTAACTTCGACTGTTAATTTGAATTTTTGACCTACCAGATGCTTGAAAATCAAGGATTTTGAGTCTCATACTGCACCGTTTTTCTTCAAATTTATACCATTAAAAGCAAAACAAAATTGCCTTTCTGTCGGTGCATTACTTTATTGTAAAGAGTCACTCGTTCTAGCAGCGTTTTGGTCCCCAGCTGATAGAAGGCCTTCTTACAGCTGGGGACCTAAATGCCGCTGGAAGTAGGGACTCTGTTTAAGAGAATAATGTACCAACAGAAAGGGATTTTTGTTATGCTTTGAATGGAACAAGTTTGAAGAAAAATGGTGCAGTATGAGACTCGTATTCCTTGATTTTCAAACATCCGGTAGGTCAAAAATTCAAATTAACGGTCGAAGTTTGTACCGCGTGAAAACATCAGGCAAAATTAACGGAATTCATAGATTTAACATGGAAAAGTTGAAAAGTCCCTTGAACAAACAGGCGATTTTGTGAAAACAACTATTGAAAATCGCCTGTTGCCTGCTGCTTACATAGTTTTCACTGTTACCTCTTTATTTTCTCTCCAGATACGATGATATGTACACACTTACACTGGAATATAAAGATGGCTCTGGTGGAGCTTGTCGCACAGGAAGTTGGACCAAAAGTGTCTCATGCTTCATCGATGAAGATGGCGAGATTCTACAAGCAAAACTCGACCCTGTTGTTAGACAATTGCATGATAGTTTAAAATCAGAGAAAAAGGAGAAATAATACCAGAATACTCACAGTTAATGGATCACACTGATGAATTATTGAATGCCGGGGCAAAAATTTTGTTGTAAATCATTCTCTACTAATACATTGGAGGGATCATGGATTTTGTGTCAGTCTCAGTGAAAGAGTTTTATACAAAAGATTTAAAACAAAATTCATTCATTGTTTGATGGGGTTGGGGTGGACCCCCATTATTAGGTTTAGTAATGTATTGATGTGATCACTAATTGTTAATATCTTTTCATGGTACATGTAAGTTAACATTGTAAGGGTGAAGGTTGACAATAATGGTTAATTGGTAAAACACATTGAATTTTCTCGAATTTGTACATTTTTGGCATACTCATTTTTACAAGTGCCTCAACCTGTGCCAGAAATACAATGTCAGATGTCAAATAGATGTCACTTTCATACAATAGGTAATTATGAGTCTTAGCTTTTTCCTTGTGAGTTGTGACTGTACATTGAGAATGTAAAAACTATGTAAGTAAATACAATATTAAAAGTATACTGCTTTAGGATCAGTATATATGTATCTATTTTCAATTATCCCACCTTGGTATTCTTACCATTGTTTTAACTTATTTTTCATTGATAAAACAGTCCATGAGACTATTTCATTAATATCTGTCTCTAATATTTGGTTTCATTTATTATGTTGTTCCACATTGTGAATGTGATATGTAGCAATGATATATTGTAAATAAAATAAGACTTTTGATATTATCAATTGTCTAAATCAAAATACTAGATTTTATCTCTCGTTATCATATTCGCCATACTCAACATGTTAAAGGGCCGATAGCTGTAATTGAGATCCTAAATAATAACTCAGATACGAGTAGGTAGTTACCAGTTCCACCGACAGGTGGAATATACCCGAACTAGAAGTCACATTTTCAAAAAAAAATTAAATTTTCGAAACCATATTTCTGGTTGTACTTTTACATGTAGATTTCAAATATGACTGAATTTTGAATATTTAATGACGTACGTTTTTTGTACTCGCATCTAGTCTATTCTAACATTTACTTCATAATGATATTTTCACGCGGTTCTAACTCACCGGGGCGTATCGAAACCAAAACGCCCCGCAAAACCGTCAATTTGCATTTCAAATCTACCCTGTCTTTGGAAAATCAATGATTGTGAGTCTCACACTACACCGTTTTTCTTCAAACTTGTTTTGATCGCCAGATGTGAGAAGTTGCAAATTCTCAGAGATTTCAACCACAATCCTTGATATCTCGCCAGTTCTTCTATCACTCTCCCCCATATTTAGCGCAAGGACTCCCATTACAACCCTCCATCGCTGCATCAACATGGTTATTACATGAAACGCAGCAATTCTGAAAAGTCCTACGCAACTGTTCGAAATTGACCAAAACGCCCCGTTGTCTTCCAAAACGCCCCGCAGAATCTATGACTACAAACGTGTAGTTTCAAGGTATATAGATCCAATGGGGCTTTTTGGAAGAGAACGGGGCGTTTTGATCAATTTCGTAGGACTTTTAGAAATTGCTGCGTTTAATGTAATAAATATGTTGATGCAGAGATGGAGGGTTGTAATGGGAGTCCTTGTGCAAAATATAGGGGAGGATAATAAAAGAACTGGCGATATATCGAGGCTTTTGGTTGAAATCTCTGAAGATTTGCATCTTCTCACATCTGGGGACCAAAACGCCGCTAAAACGAGCGACCCTGTACACAAAAGCAATGTCTCGAGTTAAAGGTATTTCTGTGAATGTTTTTATGGACCAAGTTTGAAGAAAAATGGTGTACTATGAGACTCACAATCATTGATTTTCCAAAGACAGGGTAGATTTGAAATGCAAATTGACGGTTTTGCGGCGCGTTTTGGTTTCGATATACCCCGGTGAGTTAGTACCGCGTGATTATGTAGCTCACAAAATCCAATCAGTTGATTCGGACATAAACTTTGTTTACTATATTTATTGAAACTTGAAAAATGGTCATGTAATTGGCTCTTAAATTGAAAAAAAGTCAATAGTATTTCTAGTGGCATATTGACATTACGTTTTACCTTGATCCCCCCCCCCCGAAAACCGAACGGCTCCGATGTTGAAATGTCAAGAGTTTTCCCTGGAGTTTTGTAAAAGTGGAGTTTCAAAGACACATTCATTGCTCTTCTCAAGTTTGTTTCCTTTGTACAGTGTAAAATATCCATCATCATTTTGGACCTGTTTTCATGTTCTACTGTAAGTATTTGAATGGGCTAGGTGACTCAATTACATGTTTAGGAATTATTGAAATGTTGAAGTGTCGGATAGGAAACAAAACATGCGTTTACCCCCTCCCCCCGAACTAAACTTATTTATTTTGCTTTCAGACGTGTGATGCCGCCCCTTATCTAGGATACTTTATCCCATAGTTACCACTCGTTCTTGTTAGGCGTATATTTCTTGAACAAATAACTCTTCATTCCAAGTGGTAGATTAAAGCAATACAATATGATATTGATTTAGTTAATGGAGTTAAGACTTCACTTAAAAAAACTAAGATTAGACAGCTTGATATAATGATATACTGTTCTAGATCAACTGTTAAAAAGTAAATCTCGATTCGCTGTTGAACGCTTTATTTGAGACTAGTTTTCACCATACAAGCAATGCTTTCCATAAATGACCTTAAATGCACTTCAAATAGGGATGTGGCATTTTGTTATCCCTACCCTCAACGTCGTCTTTTTAGAACACGATATCCATCCTATCTTCGACAATAGCACCCATCAAGCCAGGGCTGTTTCCAGGATACTGAAATAAACTATATTTTTGGCCAAACACTAAATTTTGAAATGCCTGTATCTTTTTACCATTTGTGAGTTAAACAATAATACAAATCAATGCAACTTTGGATAAGCTTTAAATTGATATATGACTCGTACTATGGAGACATTTGTATATGTCTGCCTAGGGAGGGGGAGACATACTTTACACCCTGTACATTAAGGCCAAGAACGATATGTATTATTACTTATCGTGCCCATAAGTCTGTAAGTGATACAGCTAAGTTGAATATGAAGAGAAAACAACCATATGCTAATTAAAATTATTTCTATAGTGCATTTTACATGTCATGTACATAACAGAAAGTCTAAATTCGCATTGTTCAAAGATTGATTTCAGATTATCTTTTGTTTTCCGACGCTCTTTGTTTGTATTTTTTAGAATATTTGAGAGATTTTTACTTCTTATAGAGGATATGATTTATTTTATAATTAAGAAATTTTTATTTTTCTATGTTTACAGTACGTTATCTAGCATTCAGTATGACGAAATGAAATGGTTGATAAATTGAAAAACATGTTTGTCCCCATGTCCCATGTCCTTGGACTAATGAAAGAGAACCATACACGTATTTTCATTCTCACCGATATCTTTAGGTGTTTTATTGTTCTGCACTACATGTATGTGTTTCGTATTATATGTATTATACTTTTGCCAATGAAACTGGCTATATATTTTCCAAGTTGAGTTTCTAAAATTCAACTCAAAACGAAAATGCTTCAATTTTTGTCTAATGGGGTATGTAATTGATGTCAGCGAGATCGTTGAAAGAAATCTCAATTTCTAAATCGAGGTCCTCGCGGTCGATTAAAAATAGAATATACAGAGTATAACCGAACTAAGTTCATGGAACCGAGTGAGAATCTATACTTCCAACAAAACCCGAGAAAATGGATCGATTGCGAGCACTTATCTTAGAAAAATACAATGGTACGATCTATGGTCACAAGTCTATCACCACTTGACATATACCTGTACACCCTCTCCAAAAGTATATATGACAAGGATGGTTTAAGTTTAAAGTCCCCATATATAGTTAAACCACTTTGGCTTAAATTGCAATCTTATCCATTGTTACCAAAGTGCGATATGTAAAACTTTTTTTTTTATTTCAAAAAGAGGTTTTTGAAGGACAAAAAATAATGAATTTATTTAAAACTAACTTGTATAGGTCACATGTATTTTTTAATAAGTGATAATTTGCACCAATGCATGGCATTCATCCCCACGTATTGTCTGCCGAAAAAGTTTTTATCGTACCTAACAAAAGTTACGATATTGTAGTCAGCTTGACGGGCGGGCGGCGGGCGGGCGGCGGGCGGGCGGGCGGCGTCTCACTTTTCAGCTTGTCTACAGGTTACCAGCCAAACCATTTTAGGGATTCATCTGAAATTTTCAGGGATGTTTCTACATATCAACGTCAAGAACTGATTAGTTTTTGGGCATTCTGGGTAAATCTTAAGGTGGCCATTTTGGATTTTCCGTCCTAAAATCTTCACTTTCAAGACTTGTCTACAGGTTTCCAGCCAAACCATTTGAGGGATTCATCTGAAATTTTCAGGGATGTTTCTACATATCAACCTCAAGAACTGATTAGTTTTGGGCATTCTGGGTAAATCTTAAGGTGGCCATTTTGGATTTTCCGTCCTAAAATCTTCACTTTCAAGACTTGTCTACAGGTTTTCAGCCAAACCATTTGAGGGATTCATCTGAAATTTTCAGGGATGTTTCTACATATCAACGTCAAGAACTGATTGGTTTTTGGGCATTCTGGGTAAATTTTAAGGTGGCCATTTTGGATTTTCCGTCCTAAAATCTTCACTTTCATGACTTGTCTACAGGTTTTCAGCCAAACCATTTGAGGGATTCATCTGACATTTTCAGGGATGTTTCTACATATCGACGTCAAGAACTGATTAGTTTTTGGGCATTCTGGGTAAATTTTAAGGTGGCCATTTCGGATTTTCCGTCCTAAAATCTTTACTTTCAAGACTTGTCTACAGGTTTCCAGCCAAACCTTTTGGGGGATTCATCTGAAATTTTCAGGGATGTTTCTACATATCAACATCAAGAACTGATTAGTTTTTGGGCATTCTGGTTAAATTTTAAAGATGTCATTTTAAAAGCAAAAAAGGCTCCAAAACGTAATAAAATATGTAGTTTGGATGTTCATTTATGTCTGTGGATTATGTTTTATACCACAAACACTTATAAATACCTGAAATTTGCAATAAAAGTGCCCAAAAATTGTTGTTTCGAAATTCCCCATTTTTCCTGTATCGCGCTAGTCACGTGACCCTTACCCGTAGCAGGCAATGCCTAGTATTACAG